TTTTAAGTGTATTTGAGGGGCTTGCAGGTTAGCTCCATTGTCTAAAGCACCTGCTTGGGCAAACTCTGTTGGGTTCAGGGGACCACGGTTCAATCCCCAGCACCACATGCTGCACCAGACCTGCCCTTAAGGCAACCTGAGCCAGTCCCCTCCCCCCCAAAAAAATGTGTTTGGTACAAGGTCTCACTACACAGCTCAACTCATAGTGATCCTCCTGTTTTCAGTTTTCAGTCTCCTCTGCGCTGGGATTACAGGTCTGTCACCACACCCTCTCAGTGTGCTGAGTGTGGCTGGCTCAGTGTGCCTGGGGGGTGGGGCTGGCATGGCATATGGTGCTGGGAATTGATCCCTCCTTAAGTAGTGATTGGCATTCTTAGTACACACACACACACACACACACACACAGAGAATACCTGCTGACGTGACTCACTGGCAGAACAGAATTCTGCCAGTTCTTTCTTCTTTTTTTTTTTTAATCTCCTCTGCAGTTCTGGGAATTGAACCCAGGGTCTTTGTACCAACCTACATATTCCTTTAAAAAAATGTTTTTTTTTTCTTTGAGACAAGGTCTTAGAAAGTTTCCCATCCCTGCCCCAAATGTCCTCCTGCCTCAGCCTCCCAGAGTGCTACGGTCTCAAGTTGCGGTCTTTTAAGGTACTTTTCTGGTTATAACAGTGTGAAACTGGGCTTCAGACATCTTAAACTGCCAAAGAAATATTTGTCAATTCATTCAACAGTGTCTAAGGCCTTTGTCTCTTTATATTAAGGAACATTTTCAACTCAATTTGTTGTTGTTGTTGTTTTTTTTTTTTTGCAGAACCGGGGATTGAACTCAGATCCTTGCGTTTGCCAATCAAGTGCTTATCCTACTGAGCCATCTCCCCGGCCCCTCAGCTCAATTTGTATAAGAATTTATTTTGTGACTTCTGTACTGAATCTTGGGCATGCTTCAGGATGGCTACAAAGAAGCAGAAGACTTGAGCCCTGAACTCATAGAGTAGCAGTCTAGAGCAGTGGTTTTTGGTGGGGACAGTTTTTGATCCCAGTTTTTGATCTAGTTTTAGATCCATCTGTCTGCAGACATTCTTAGTTTTTGCAAATGAGGTGTATGAGGGATGCCACTAGCAGGGTGCAGGACACCCCTCCCCCTACAAAGAATTAACCACCCGCAAGTATCAGCAGTGCAAAGACAACCAGAATTTTGAGGTTAGAATATTATACTAGTTAATAATGGGGCAGCTAAAGCTCACATTGTCCTGGTCTAATGTTATAGTTGCTGTCATATGGCCGTTTAAAGTCATTATCACGTTATATGACAGTTTTATCTCCAACTAATTCTGACTTGTAGCTTTTTCTCTACTCATACTTTTGGAATACTGGACAACTATATTCCTTCATGCCCATATTTTAGTATCTGGAATATATTTATTTTTCTTTTTTCTTAGTACTGGGAATTGGACCCAGGAACCTACTACCATGCCCTGCTCATTTTTTTATCTGGAAAATTTTTATATCCCCAAAAGCCTTCCCTAATCTATAAAACCCAGATTAGAAGCTGGGTGTGGTATCACATGCCTGTAATTTCAGCACTCAGGAGGCTGAGGAAAGAAGATTGTGGTGAGTTTGAGGCAGACTGGGCTATATAGAGAGTTCAAGGACAGACTAAATTGTACAGTGAGACCCTGGCCTTTTTTTTTTTTTTTAATTTAGAACAGGGTCTACAGGGTCTCACCACATTGATTGGACTCTAGTGATTCTCCTGTTTTCAGCCTCCCAAGTGCTGGGATTACAGGCCCATGCCACCATGCCCAGTCTCCATCCCTGTCTCAGGGCGCCCCAGGGGCGGGGCCAGCACGGCATAAGGAAAAGGCTTTGCTTTTTTTTTTTTTTTTTTGCAGAACCAGGGATTGAACTCAGGCCCTTGCGTTTGCCAAGCAGGCGCTTATTCTACTGAGCCATCTCCCCAGCCCTAAATTTATTTTTTAAAATTTAATTAATTAAATATTTTTGTGGTCCCAGGGATTGAATTTAGGACTCCAGGCAAGTGCTTATTCTACTGAACTATCTCTCCAGCCCCAGAAAAGGCATTTGAAGATAAGTCTTTCTCCTTGGAGAACTTAGCTGTGAGTTCTCTTTCCCAGCCAGGGAAGCACTTGTTTTATGAAGCGTCTGACTCTAGGCTATCCCTGAAGATATTCAAGCAGAGACTTAGCACACTTTCTACAAACTATAAAATTGTGGGCTGTATCAGAACTCTCGATTCTCTGTCTGATGATGTCAGAGAATGCTGATAGCTTAAAATTTTTATTTTAAAACATTTATATTCTGAATTTTCAGAAACTGTCAAAGGAACAATGGAAAATTCAAAATATTTGGTTTTGGGAAATGCCATGTTGGTTATTTTTCAAACTATTCTTTTTTATTTCAATGTATTTAGTACCAGATCTTCAGGGTCTCACTACACAGATTGGACTTGTAGTGATTCTCCTGTTCTCAGCCTCCCAAGTGCTGGGATTACAGCAGTGCGCCACTACGCCCAGTCTCAGTCGCCATCTCAGTGCACCCCAGGGGTGGTGCTGGCACACGTGCTGGTGATCGAACCCTGGTTGCTGTGTCTGCCTAAACAGGCACTTTAGTCCCCTGAGCTATCTGGCTGGCCCTATCAAACTATTCTTATATGTACAGTTTAGCTATTAATTGCCTTATTACTTACCAGGTTCCTTTCTGAAATTAAAAGAAAAAAAATCAGTGGTTCAGAAGCAGCAATGTCTAGTGTGTGTGTCCACAAGCTGTATGAGAGATAGGGTAGAAGAGAGACATCAAGTAGCCCAATGAGGAGCAAAGGGGCTGTGTTGCTTATGAAATAGTGTAGTAGCATTTTTGAAGATTCAGTGTGCTGATCTAGAAAAGTTGTTCATCTCCTCATTGACAAAGGCAGTTACAACCAGACTATACTGACAGAGCAAGTGGAGGGTTACTATCTGGGCTCTTCTACACTTTATATTGTATAATAGTACCCTGCTTCTGAGTCTTTGAATATAGACTTAGAGTGATCCTGTCCTCTGGAGTTCACTGTGCAGAGCCATATGTATCTGGGCCAGTGGAGGCAGACTGGGACCTCATCTCATACTAGTGATACTTCAGTACTGGCTGGCTATGTGAGTTGCCTGTTTCCTCTTGCCAGAGTAGCTTTGATTTGTTTTTAAAACTAAATACAAACCTGTAGATTCTCTCTTCTCTTATTTCAGGAAGCAAAACAGTATAATACTTTTTGGTATTGTTTCTATAATTTTATTTTTATTTTCTAAAATATTTGTTTATTTATTTATTTGATACAGGGTCTTGCTACACAGCTCAGACTCAGTGATCCTCCTGTCTCACCCTCCTTAGTGCTGGGATTACAGGTGTGCGTCAGCACACCAGGTTTTGAGGCAGGTTCCAGGGCTGGTGTGGCGTGCAGTACCATGGAGTTAACCCAGGACCTGCGCTTGCCAGGCAGGCACTTAGACCACTGAACTATCTTCCCCAGCCCCTGTTTCTAGAATTGAAAAGTAAAAAATTGTGGTACTGTTCAAAATTCTTTCTTTCTGGAGCCGGGGAGATGGCTCGGTGGAATAAGTGCTTCTCTGGCAAGCGCGAGGACCTGAGTTCAACCCCCGGTTCTGCCAAAAAAAAAAAAAAAAAAAAAAAAAAATTTTTTTTTTTTTTTTTTTTTTTTTTGGCAGAACCAAGGATTGAACTCAGGCACTTGCGCTTGCCAGGCAAGTGCTTATTCTACTGATCTATCTCCCTGCCCTCTAAAATTATCTATCTATCTATCTATTTATTTATTTATTTATTTATTTATTTAATTTTAGGGAGGGATCCTCAGGGTGGCATGCCCCTGTAATCCCAGCTCTTGGGAGGCTATAAACAGGCGGATCACTACGAGTCCAATCTAGTAGTGAGACCCTAAACACCCTGTGGACCCCTCTCTAAAATTCTTTTATTTCTGAAATGAAATGACAATGGCATTTTTATTAAAATGACAATAGATTCTTTTACCATAAAGCCAAGATCAAAGCATCATACCCCCTAAGTTCAAATACTGTTGGACTCCAAGGGTTTTGATTAATGCTATCACAAACCTTTACTCTTTGTCCTTCCCTGAATGTTGTTGTGTGAGGAATTTATACATTTGTGCATTTGTGGCTGCATGTGCACATGCATGTGTTCTTATTGTCTTATCAGTATTAGTTCCTACCTGAGTTAGGAAAATTATATTCTTGGTTCTGTGTGAGGAAAAGGGTGTGTAAAGCAACATGAAATTTTAACCTTCATTTTATTTTATTTATTTATTTTTCTTTTTATTTATTTATTTGTGTGTGTGTGTGTGTGTGTGTGTGTGGCCAACTCAGCCCACCAGGGGGCAGGGCTGGCTGGCATGTGGTGCTGGGGGATTGAACCGCAGTCCCTGTGTTTTGCTAAGCTTGTTCTAAGTAGGTGTTTTAGACCACTGAGCCATCTCACCAGCCCCTTCATTTTATTTTAAGTTACAAATTAATGAGCCAGGCATGGTGGTTCATGCCTGTAATCCCAGCACTCGGGAGGAGAAGCAGGAGGATCATTGCAAGCTCAAGACCAGCCTGGGCTACAGAGTGAGCTCCAGGCCAGCCTGAACTACATAGTGAGACCCTATTTCAAAAAGACCAAAAAAACCCCCCAAAAAACAAAAAAAAACCTTACAGACTAATATTAATTTTTCTCAAAAGTAGATTTTTCCCCCCTCAAATTGAAACATTTTTATTTTTTTGGGTTTAATGAAGTATTGCTAACTAAAGTCAGTTTGAGATGATGAGAGATGTCAGATTGATAAAAGGTATGCAGCCTGATTTAAACTAAACCCTCAACCCTTTTAAAGAACAATAAAACATACTTTGCATGCAAAAATATATTGATGAACGTGTGAATACTTTATGTTGGATAGGAACAGTAACAGTTTTCTGGTGGTATCTCCACAGGTTGATATGTCAGAACTCTCACCAGAAGAGCAGTGGAGGTAAGTGTGGCAGTGTGGACCCCACAAACTGGGAAGTGCAGATCACTTAGCTAAGTGGTTTCTTCTTTGTCTGTGGGATGCAGTGGCTGACAGGACAGGTCTTTCGGATTGGTCCACATACCTGGGTCATTCCTGCGTCACTCCCTTTGTACTAGGGAGCCAACAGGTAATAGGTCATCAAACCATCCATCTGGGTTTGAATACCACCTCTGCCATTAACTATGTGATCTCAGGTGTACTACTTGGCATCTCACTGCCTATGTTTGCTACAGTTGTGAGAAGGATTCCGCCCCCCACCCCCTCAGGCTGCCAAAAGGGAGGGTCTGGTGTGGCATGTGGAGCTGGGGATCAAATCACGGTCCCCTGTGCCTGCCTGGGTTTGGCCATGCAGACACTTAAACAACTGAGCTAACCAGCAAGCCCCCATGTTTGCTCCATTTGTAAAAACAAGAATCATAATAGTATCTATGCCTTATAGAGCTTCACGGATTAGTATATATGACATTCTTGGAACAGTGCCTGGCATGTGGTAAGCTTCCAGTAAGTGTTGCTTGCTTTGAAGATGATTATCATCATTAATGTTATCATTATCCGCAATACAGTATGGAGAGCCCTGGCTGGAAAAATGGAAGATATTTCTTCTGATTTCACCTCTGCTACTAACTTATTTTGTAATCAGGAAAAAAAAAAATCAACAAATACCTTATTTTCATGATTTCTTAGCAGTTAAAAGGGTTTCAGAGTGCTTGGTTCACAGGATTCATAAGGTGCCTGGCTGACCAATAAGCTGAAATCAACCAAATACAATTTAACAGTGAGAAAATCTCTTCATGTAGATTCAAATGATCAATTATTAAAATGTAGATTGAACTGGGGAGATAGCTCAGCAGCATAAGCACTTGCCTGACAAGTGCAAGGTCCTGAGTTCGATTCCCAGTACCAAAATAAAACATAGATTGACAAAGATACCAACTCATATGATAAAGCCAGCATTACTTTACTTGATTTTAATTTCTAAATGTGCCAGTTTTATATCTCAACTACCAGTGTATTTGTGTATTTTGAATAATTTAGAAGATGTTCATAGAAATGTGCTATCTCCCTTAAGGAAGGTGATAATAACACCTTCACACACTGCTTGTTAGGATCTTTAACTGGGTCATCTAAAAGAAGGCAGACAGGTATCAGTCTTCACATCAATGGTCTGTGCATACTGGGTGAAAGATTAGAAATGTTAGGGTAAAGGTAACAGAAAAATGGAGTTAGGAACAGGAAAGGGTTTTGTTGTTTGGCTGATTCAATAAGATCATGGTAAATTTCTGAAGGGTTGGCTCTGAGCAGGATAAGTAGTTACGTCCTTTGTTTTATCTGGCATAGAGGATTAGTTCCAATGGTTGAAGATATAATAAAATAAGGTGGAGATTTTTGACTCATTGTCAGATTTTATTTATATTCATTAATTAATTTTAATTTTATGGAGAAAAGTAAAACAAAAGTTCATGACTAAATAATAGAATAACAATAGTTAATACATTGTGTAAGTATTTTTAATTAAGATATGTTGAGAGCTGGGGATATAGAGCAGTAGCATAAGTGCCTGCCCAGCAAGTACAAGGTCCCAAGTTTGATCCCCAGTACAAAATAAAAAGAAAGAATGAAAAAGAAAAAGGTAAGATATGTTGAGCAATAATGAGTTGTCTGTCCCTAAAAACTTGAAAATAATTTTTGCATTAAACAGGAACTTTAACTGGATGATTCCTTTAATCAAATTATGTTGAGAGGTAGTGAGTTTTCTGTCCCTAAAAATTGGAGCAGGAATTTCCAGACCCTTTATTTGATTTCATGCTGTGTATATCTATTTGGTTATGTGTTACCTAGATAGAACAAGAAGCTTATTTCTTGCTCTTTTTTTTTTTTTTTTCCTTTAAGATAAGGTCCTGCTATATAGTCCAGACTGACCTTGAACCCTCAGTGATCCTCCTGCCTTAGCCTTCCAAGTGGCATTACAGGCATGCACCACCACGCCCAGCTTCTTGCTATCCTTGTAACTCTAGCCCTTAGCTTTCCTTCTCTTCTTTTCCCTTTCCGTTTTTCTCTTTCCTTCCTTATAGTACTAGTGATTAAATTCAGGACCTTATGTTTGCTCTATCACTCAGCTATATCCTTAACTTTTTATAGTGAGACTATATATATATATATATATATTCACTAAATTTTCCAGGTTGAACTCAAACTTGTGATCGTCCTGCCTCAGCCTCCAGGTAGCTATGCTTACAGAGATGTACCCCCCATATTCAGTTTTAAGGTTTTCCTAAGTATTCACTAACCTTTTAGTTCAGCCTACCGTTATACCAACCATGTGTTGAGAACAGATGCATACTTCTTTTGACACATGAAGAAATTATGGTGGAAAGATGGAAGGTTTCTTGGCCAAGGCCCCATAGGTGAGTCTGAGCCTAAGTTTCTGACTCCTGATTCTATTTTTCTTCCACCCAAAGTGATTTTATATAAAATGAATTATTTTATAATAATATAAAAGGCTAACAGATTGATGTTTGGCTGTTTACTTTGCTCATCAAGTTCCTAATATTTTATTATGAAAAAATTAAATTATATAAAAAATTAAAAGAATTATGTATTGAACACCATTTTACCCACCACCTAGATTCTGCTATTAATTTCTTGTTATATTTGCTTTATCATTTAGCTACTCATAATTTATTCACTGGGAATCAATTCTTTTTGTTGCCCTTAGGAATTCCATGATGATGTCATTTATGCTGTCTTTTCCTCTCTAATACTCTAGCACAGTGCTGGTGAATGTCTGCTCACATGCCACAGTGGGCTGATGGTTATTGTAGAAAGGTCTAAAAGTTTACTATCACTGCTCTAGTATATGAGGAATTTGTGGAAATGTTCTGACTGCAGGCTGCATTTAAATTCAGTTTGTCTCTAGTTTTTTCCTCCTTCTTTAGCCTTGGCTGACTGACCCAGAGAGGTAGGATGACTGTTCTTGGAGGAAGATTTTGGCAATATTGCAAGTGCATCACTAGTTGCCAGTCTTCAAGACCAGAGAATGCCAGCTATAGATTTATAAATAGCTTTCAGGTGTATTGCCTAGTGACTGAACTTTCTTGAGCCCTTGAGGAGACTACAGTATTTTGTGGATGCTAATGAAGTCATTGTTGTACTAGAATAAAGTTGAAGCAGCCCAGATTTTTCTGTTTTCAACTGTTTTTATGATCTCTGACAAAGACGGTAGGATGAACAAAGCAAAATTTTAACCCTGGAATCAGCACACATTTGCACTGTTACCCTTTGTTAGTGTCATACATAGTAGACTAAGTAGACTTAGTAAACTAAGATTCTAAGGTTTCATGGCTATAAGCTCTCTAGATTACTTTCTCCTTCCAGTGATAGGTTGAAACAGGACTAAAATGGGCAGGGACATAGACTTTTCCTTCTTGCTACAAGAAGGGCATTGGAGGTTTCTGTCATGAGGGGCAAGCAATAGATCACTGGATCGCTACTCACTGTAGGGGAGTTTTGTTGCTGGGTCCACAGAGCCTCTATTCTGTTCCCAAATGCTGGTCATGTAGGGAATGTATCCTAGCCCCTAATTTGCGTAGATGGTACCCTTCTGTTATGAAGCACAAAAGCATATTCTGAGCTACAGATTGGCAGGGTATTCCTGGGAAACACTTCCCCTTTACCAGCACACCATCCTTGACCTGGCTCACCCCTTTTGTTTGTCTTTCAGGGTTGAACATGCTCGCATGCATGCCAAACATCGTGGCCATGAAGCCATGCACGCCGAAATGGTCCTCATCCTCATCGCGACCTTGGTGGTGGCTCAGCTACTGTTGGTACAGTGGAAGCAAAGGCATCCCCGCTCCTACAATGTAAGCCACTTTGCCTCTCAATTCTTTGTCAGCTATCAAGAGACCCAGAGTCTTTCAGGGCCCAGCATAACGCTGGGCCATATGTAAGCAAAGAAAAATAGCAACTTTTCATGTGGTATGATGAATAGTCTATGGGGTACTTGTGTGTGTGTGTGTGTGTGTGTGCGTGCATGCGTGTGTGCGTGCATGCGTGTGTGTGTGTGTGTGTGTGTGTGTGTGTCTATCTAAATGGTGAATTATTCAGCAGGAATAAAACATGAAATTATTTCCATAGCCAGAAAAAAAGAAGATACTCCCATTTAAAAATTGTGAAACAGTTTCATGAAGTAGATATTCATTGATTAGAAGGGGGAAGATCACTTTGATTAGGAAAACCAAACCTATAAGTAGTCTTACAAATAAGATGTAGATCTCATTAATCTATATTACCACAAAAACAAAATCAGTAAAGTTGTAATAGAAGAAATCAGAAAAAAAGCAGATGATATACAAAAAACAAATAGCATAAATAAATTCTTCCTTATTAGTAATTAAATACAAATACAAATACAAATTGGTTACATTTTCCTAATACGGAGCAGATTGGATTTTAACTCCTTCCCCTTAATCCATTGATAAGGTGGGTACAAGAGCGTCAGATATAAAGACACAAAGGAATTAAAAGCAAAAAAAGGCTGAGGCAGGAGTGTAGTTGTGAGTTCGAGACCAACCTGGGCTACAAAGTGCGCTCAAGAGGCCAGCCTGAACTGTATAGTGAGATCCTGTCTCAAAAAGACCAAAAAAGAAAAAAAGAAAGAAAGAAAAGAAAAAGAAAAAGTATACAAAAAATATTTCATGCAGATTACAAACAAAAGAAAGGAAGTGGATATTGACTTAAATTTACAAAGGTTATAAGAAACAAAGTATAGGGCTGGAGAGATGGCTCAGTGGTCTAAAGCACCTACTTGGAACAAGCTTGGCAAAGCACCGGGACCACGGTTCGATCCCCCAGCACCACATGCCAGCCAGCCCCGCCCCCTGGTGGGCTGAGCTGGCCACACACACACACACACACACACACACACTAAATGTTAAAAAAAAAAAAGAAACAAAGTATAGTATACATTGATTAAAGTTCAGTGCACTTGGAAAAAAAATAAATAAATCAGAGAGCAAGGCTTCTCTAGACACTGACCCTGCAAGTGCCTTCATCTTAGACTTGCCAGCCTCTGGAACCATAAGAAATAAATTCTGTTACTCTCAAAAAAAAAAGTTCAAAGTACCAAGAAGATAGAATAGTTGTATATGTGACTAATAAAGGAGGCCCAAATCATGTGAAGCAAATTTTATAGAACTGAAGGTAAAAGTCATCCTATAAATAATATTTGGAGATTTTAGTACCTCACTTTCTTTTTTTTTTTTTTTTTTTTTTTTTTGGTGGAACCGGGGATTGAACTCAGGTCCTTGTGCTTGCCAGGGAAGCACTTATTCCACTGAGCCATCTCCCCGGCCACCTCACTTTCAGTAATGGGTAGACAGCCAGATAGAAGATTGTGTAAGTAGTAGAAAACTTGAAAAATAGTGCATACTAAGTAGGCTTAAAAAGCAAAGAATACTCTACCCAACAACAACAGGATGTAAATTCTTCACAAGTACACATAGGGCATTCTGCAGGATATACTGTATGTTCTATGAAACCCTCAATAAATTTGAAAAGAATGAAATCATAGACATAACTACTCTGCTTTGGACAAGTATACTAGAGTCCTTTAAACTATTATTTTAGAAGTTTTTTGCCTTTTCAAAATAACAATACTTTTTAAACATAAAAGCACAATAGACACTACAAAATAATTGTGCTTTTCTTTGAGAGGGGGAAAAGATATATATATATATATATATTTTTTTTGATTCTTTGAAGTATTTCCTGTGCTGTTTGATTTTTTTTTTAAATAATTGTGCTTTGAAAGAACAACAGGTACATAGTATAGTAACATTACTTAACATTTATTTGGTTCTTAACACTTGTAAAGACTCAATTGAACCTCTGTGCAACCCAATAACATTGTTTTCCCCAATTACAGATGAGGAACTGAGGCATAGAAAGGCTAAGTAATTTGGACAAGTTCTGATAAAACTATTGTTTGAACCCAGCTAATTTTACTCTATGGCTTTCAGTCTTAATCCTTGAATGATCCTTTTTATCTAGTATATACTTATTTAGACCTTTTATAATTTGGTCAACTTTGCCAAGGGGTCTGTAACCTGCATGATGGAAACTACTATATGTTGTACTCTTTTAATCTACTTAATAACCTGTGACAGTGATGGCAAACTGTAAAGTTTATAGTGATGCAAACAGCCTGCTGTGGCATGCATACCACAGGTTAGTCTTCAGTGGTCTATGGCGTAAATACAATGTTAAATGAAGACAATGAGGCCCACAGGATTGAGGCAAGAGTTGAGGCCAGTACCTTAGTTTTCATAGCCTGGGTTTTGGCCATACCAAGTTAGACTGAGATTTGAACCCAGGTCTTCTGTTTTGTATGTCAGATTTTGAACTATGCCATATGTTATCTCTGGAAATGGTTTGTCATTAAGGGAATCATGGTATAGCCTGGAGCATCAGAGGAAAGGCTAATCTTTGTCCTTGAGCTGGGACAAGTTCCAGACAACATTGGCCTGTAGCTACCCCAAGTGTTGGCATGTGGTGCAACTAGAAACATCTAGCTGGGTGTGGTGGCCTAATTATTGATCTTCAATAAAGTTAATAATGAGTTAAAAATAATAAAAAATAAAAGTTTACAACTCAAAAAAAAGAAAAGAAAAAGATGTTTCTCTACTTTCTATCATTTTTTTATTTTGCTCTTTATTTATATTTTGCATTTCTCAAGTAAGAGAAACTAATATAAGAGAAACCATGTGGTACTTATGCTTGTGTGTATTTTTTCACTTAACATTATGGTTTCAAAGTGCATCCATTGTCCTACAGTTTATCTGTATGGTGCAGTAGTACTTTATTGTGTTTAAGTATCACATTTTCTTTATCCATTCATTTGTTGATAGACCTATGTGCTTTTCTGTGCTTGTATTTATTTTATTTTATTTCGAGACAGCGTCTCACTGTGTGGCCCAGGTTGGCCTCAAACTCATGGTGATCCTCCTGGCTCAGCCTCCTGAGAGCTGGAAGTACAGGCTTGTACCACCGCATCCAACTTATACTTGTATTTAGAAATAGTCTTAATTATATAATATTGGTTAATCTACAAGTTTTTAAAACCTACTCTGAAGAAAGTAAATGGTACACACACACATACAGATACACACACGCACATATACCACAATGATTTTCATTAACTGCTTTTTTTTTAAGCTTTAAAATCTTTTCTTTAAACAGTATCTTAAGGAATAACTCCCCAGCATGGAAAGCAGTAAAGAGATTGTTCTACTTGTTATGAGGTTTTGGGTAACCCTAGTTCCTTTGCTTCCTCCTCAGGACTCTCTGAAGGACTTAGTGGAGGACTGTTAGAAAGCCACTGACGTCTTCTAGTTAATCCTGAAATGGAAGTGTGAATAGAAGTTAATGAGGCAGTTGTACAGGAACATGCACCGTCATGTCTTTGCTTGCTGTGCTCTGTAAACATGCAGGACTTGACTGGTGAGATGTGCTAACTATAGAATGCCGAGTGCTAATTGTGGAAGAAGAAAATTGCCCAAGAGGCCTGTGTATAGCTGCATCTCCTAGCCCCACCTTTTTTTTTCCCAGAACCGGGGATTGAACTCAGGCCCTTGCACTTGCCAGGCAAGCGCTTCTTCAACTGAGCTATCTCCCCGGCCCCTATCCTTTTTAAAGTTATTAGAAGTTGGAGCTTTTTGTCCTTGAGGGCAGTATTAAAAAAAATGGAGGACAATCTGCTTGCATTAAACAGCAGTAAGACTACCTTCTACCTATTAGCTTTTATACATCTCTGAGCCCCGGTTTTTTCCTGTCTTCAGTGTGAAGTGATGAAACCTACCTCATGTAGTGAAGATTATTTAAGATTGTACAGTAAAGAGCTTTTTAAAAAATGTATTTGGTACAGGGTCTTATTAGCACCTCGGACTCCTAGTGATCCTTGTTTTCAGCCTCCCCAGTGCTGGGATTACAGGTGTTCACCACCACGCCTGGTCTTGGTGGCTGGCTCAGCACGCTGGGGAGTGTGGCTGGCATGGCCTGTGGTGCCGGGGATCAACCCAGGTCCCTGCACTGGCCTAAGCAGGCATTTAGTCAGCTGAGCTATCCTGCTGGCCCTACAGAGCTTTTTTGTGTGCGTACTTTTTAAAATTTTGAGAGGCCAGGTAGATAGCTCAGCAGAATAAGCACCTACCTGGCAAGCGCAAGGTCCTGAGTTCAGTCCCCGGTTCCACAAAAAAAAAAAGGAAGTGGATGAATCTTATGAATACTGATACATAAATGAAAGTCATAAAAGTGCATACAATTCCATTCATATGAAATTATAAAAAAAATCCAGCAAAAGCATATAATACTTAAAATATAGTTATGGGTCGGGGACATAGCTCAGTGGCGTAAATGCCTGCCTGGCAAGTGCAAGGTCCTGAGTTTGATCCCTGGCTCTGCCAAAATAAAATAAAATTTTGGTACATTTTAGATCTATATAATAACTAGCATTCATCATAGGGAATTTGTACTTGTACATAATATATCTTGCTTCATTTTTTCCCATTCTTCTCCCCTCTCTACCCATTTTCCTCCTTATTTACAAAAGCTTTTTTTTTTTAATGTATTTAGAACAGGGTCTACATGGTCTCACTACACAGATCGGACTTGTAGTAGATTCTTCTGTTTTCAGCCTCCCAAGTGCTGGGATTACAGGCATGCGCCACCAGGCCCAGTGTCCATCGCTGTCTCAGCGCTCCCAGGAGGCAGGGCCAGAACGGCAGGCTGGGGATCGAACCCCAGCCGCTGTGCTCTGCCTAAGAAGGCACTTTAGTCTGCTGTGCTATCTGGCCAGCCCCAAAAG